TGTGTTGACCTTAAATATGGTTGATCATTACATCATTTTTTCTAAATTGTAGCTAAAATATAAGATTAAGATATATACAAAGATTCTGTCAAAATAAAAAGCTCATGCCTCTCTTATTATTTTAAGGGTTCTCACTTGAAGTGTAGAGGTGCTGAAGCATCCTTAAAAAGGGTCTAAAATTGCCTTTGATCATTTGTCCTGTTCCCCAGAACCCAAAACCAGTCCTGGAGATGCATCCAACAGTGTTGGTGCTTCATCCGGAGGAATGGCGCCAATGGGACCACCTTTGGGTGGGCTCTTTGCCAGAGGGTTCCCCACTCTTAAACCTATAGGACAGAGAGACGTATCTGGAAAGACTCCAGGTTGGTGACAAATGTTTTGCTCCAACTGATTCTATGTTCATTGACTTTTTGATCATCAAAACAACTTACTGTGTATGTGTATGTTTGTGTGTGTGTGTGTGTGTGTGTGTGTGTGTGTGTGTGTGTGTGTGTGTGTGTGTGTGTGTGCTTATGTTTTACAGTTTCACGCTCAAGCTCCTCTGCCTCCCTGAAGTGGAACCCCCCCTCAGCGCAGACTCCAGCAGTGTCTCTGAGCCTAACAGACTTTAGAGCTCCGAAGCTCCGCCCACCACCGCTCGCTTCTTCATCCTCTGCTCCTCCCTCCCCCTCCCATGGCCAAGCATCCACCCCCTTTCAACGCTTTCTCGCCTCCTTTCCGCCTCCACCCACCCCTCCTTCTGCTCCTCCTCCGCCTCCTCCACCTCCAGCCTTCCAGGAACGTCCAGCCAACAAGCATCCTCCTATACCCACCTGCCCTCCTCCTCCACCTCCCTCCCATGTCTCCAAGCCCACCTGGCTCCCCATCCAACACTCCCACCACACCTCCATCTCCCAGCCCTCTACCCCCTCCTCCTCCACCACCTTACCAGTCCCCCTCTGCAGTGCCAGGTGACCGCTCCTCGGGGTGTTTCCACCCTCCGCCCCCTCTCCGCTCCACTCTGAACCGTCCAGATTCCCCATCCTGCGGGACAGTCCACTGGGTCCTCCGCCGCCTCCTCCTCCACCGCTCCCTGTTTCTTTTACCCCCAGCTGCCCATCTACCCTCCCCCCTCCACCACCCAAGGTGCCGCCAGTGCCCTCCCCAACTATGCGCTCTCTGCCGCCATCATACCCTTGCAACGCCCCCACCAGACGACCACCTGCTGTGCCCAGGGGTGCAGGTATGTCAACACAAAGAAGAGGAATTATTTATTTTCCTACCAATGAATTCAAGATAAAAAAAAAAGAACCTACTCACACATTTGTTTACAGTGAGCATCACAAAGCAGCAGTCAGATGACATGTTTCACTCATGTTCAAACACAGCGTTCATGAGGATCGATAGCAAGATGGAGCCAACAAGTGGATCTGATGATGATAATTTGTGTGATGCATAAAATTGCACTTTTTAAATTCTTAATCGGAGGCTTTTTGAAAACCTACAGATTACATTTTTTTGGGGTAACAATGATTTTCAAATGCAGGGGAGCGTTTGTTCTGATACACAAAATTGTAAAAGTAAGGACATTTTCAAAACATGAATTGAGTTGAATCAGTTCCCTTTTTATTTATATATTATCTGTAACAACAGCGGTATGAAGACATATCTATGTTCAAAGGGTTCCCAAGCCAAAACAGATTTGATACAGATACTATAAAGTATACAAATAAAATAATCAAGGCACAAACTTGCTCATAAATGGAAATTAAATGTTTTAAGGTGATGCTGATTTGATAAAAATATTTACATCTAACGTAGGCAGATGAAAAATGTAAATATTTTATGAAAATTATACATTTATTAATTATGTGTAAGCTTTCTTTATTCTTATTCTCTTTATTCTAATTTCAGGTACTTAAATACAAAGTGACATTTAGTGACATTAGAATACATATTTTATGAAAATTATACATTTATTAATTATGTGTAAGCTTTCTTTATTCTTATTCTCTTTATTCTAATTTCAGGTACTTAAATACAAAGTGACATTTAGTGACATTAGAATACATACATTTTAAATACTGAATTATTCAAATATACAATCAGCTTCTTAAAATTCAAGCATTTGGTGCATAGTCAAAAAATCAACTGCTCATGTAAACAATGTGCATTTTTCACCAGAGTAAAAAAACAGAAATATTTGTAGTAATTGCTAGTTTTTATCCTCCAACAAAGTATAGGTTGGAAGGAGTTGCAGCATGTCATTAAATCCACCCTGGTATGTGTTGTTTAACTCTTTACTCTCCAAGCAGCGCCAACAAACCATTGTTTCTGTGTACTGAGAGTAAAGTGTGTTTTGGCCTTTTTGTCAAAGTTATAATAGAAGACCGTATTAGAGTTAGTTGTGTTCTTAATGTGTCCCATTGTAACAGGTGTGGGTCGGCTGGCTCCACCTCCAGCTCCCCCTGCACGCTCCCCCTCTACTGAGCTGTCCAGCCGCATTCCTCCCCCTCCACCACCTCCTCCTATGCCCCCATCGAGCCTCAGGAATGGACACCTGCACAGCCTGGGTGAGACGATAGCCCCTTTCACAAATGCACTCCTGGCAATAAAAAAAAACTAAATCAGGACAGCTGCTACATATATTCACACATGTAGCTCACCTTGAAAATGTTTGGAAATTTAGGGAGTGCAGTGGATGTACATAAGGAGATTATGTGAATCTTATAATGGCTCATATTGATATTTTTGAATTAATTTAGGCATTCAATGGATCTTCTTATCCGGGCTGCTTTGAAATAAGAGCATTACAATAAGCTACGTTGCAAGCTACCTAGTTGTTCTGACCTCTCATTTACATCTTTACATTTTGTTTCTAGCAGATGATTTTGAATCCAAGTTCCAGTTCCACCCTGTAGAGGATTTACCCCCGCCCGATGAATTCAAGCCTTTCCCTCGGATCTACCCCAGCAAAGAAAACAGGGGTAACAGCACGGCGGACTCTTTATTTCCCTCTTAAGACTCAAAAAAAACATCCTTCATTTCCCTTCTCCTTCCTTTGCAGTGAATGTCAAACCACCTGGGATGAGGACACACCTCAGATGAGTCACACTCATCTTCATCCCCAAACACATATCAGCAGCTAGACTCCGTCCTCCTCCTCCTCCTCCTCGTGAGAGTTAACAGGACATCAGTGGACTCATTTGGACGCAAGCTCTCCCTGTGTGTGTATTATTTGTGTTTTGTGTATTTGTGTGTATATGTGTGTATATGTGAGTGTCAAACAGGGTCCCGCCTTATTCTGACTATGTGACCTCTGACTTTTTCCAGTGTGGAATGTTTTGAATGTGTGTGAGGAGGAGGGCTCTCCCTGCTCGTTCTCATATACACGCACACACATGGGACAGTGTCCTCCAGCAGCTATATTTAACATGACTCTTCACACCGTATGACAGTATCTACATACAGAGGTGAAACATGAATTTCATCTGAGATTTTTGTCAAAGATGTCATGAGCTTTTAGTTTGTGAAGTCCCACTTTTAAAGTCAGTAAAAATTGAAGAAGGACTTCCCTATGTACTTGTATAGAAATGTGGCCCAATCATTTTTTTCCAAAGGCTTTTTCAAAATGTTTGAGTGAGACAATCCTTTCAAAATGTCATCAGTTTTCCTTTTTGTAAACCACATCACCTAAATCTACTCTGTTACCAAGATGAGCTAAGTAAATGTCATTTAGAGTTATTGCAAAAACAAAAATGGCTGGTGTCACTTGTGGTCCAGGATATGCTAACCCTCGCATAACCATGAAGCTTTATAAATCCACGTATATAATTTGGTGCTTTTTTTGTGTTTATGCGATTGTTGTTTTTGACAAGTTTACAAGTGAATCTATTTGTAAAGAAGAAGCTACACTGACTTGTTAAGATAATGATAATGCATCTGTTCAAAGTAACATTGAAGTGTTGTCTTCTATGAATAGATAATGACATGAGGTGTACTGTTTCCTTTCTCCCTGTGTATTAACCAAGACTAACACATGAAAAGACAGTGCCACCTGCTGGTTCAACGTGTAAAGAACATGTGACCACTAAATAAACCACAGTATTTTCTGTAAAAAAAAAACAAACAAAAAAAAGTTAATGTTTGATTCTGCCTTAAAAAGATCAGGGATATTGTTCTTCAGTCAAATCGTGATGTATTTGCCTTAAAGAAGTAAAAACAAAATCAGAAACAAGACAGTCTGAACTTTTGTTGGCACTAGAAATATTTTCTTGCTCAAGAATCACATAAAAACACCTCAGAACAGCCTAGCACTGTTGAAGAATAAGAACATTATCACTCTTTGTAGAGAATTAGTCAGTTAAACACAAATTTGATCCTAACCACAAAGAATCCTAAAACTGCACTAAATGTTGAAGATCAGAGTTGATCAATATATTCTTTTCAATTTTGCACTACAGTGCATTCATGTATAATTTAACAGCTTCAGATATGTCTACTTGCCAAACACAGGTGTTTGATAGTGATGGCTGGATTATGCTGAGGTGTACCAGAACTGTGTGTACTAAATTACCTAGAGCCCTTTGATAAACAGAAATTTGGTCTTGGTTCTTTTTTTCTGTTTTTAAACCAACTGGTTGGTCTCTTTTTTGAGAAAAAAACAACTTACGTTTAAAAATACTGTTCAGGAAATAAATCAAAGCAATAATACTAAAGCAGACAGGCTTAATGCTCAAAAAACAATTGAAAGTTCACATTTCCAAGACCAAACATACAGAATATACTACAATATATTTGTGCTACTTTAGAACATATTCTGTCTGCACTACACCTCAATAATCCTTATTATTCACCTAGGTCTGATTTCTTTATTACAAGAAAAAAAGAAGCAAGACCTTTTTTTCTTCCAAAGGCCAACAAAGGGAACATTTTTAAATCAAATAACCTTCAAAAAGGAAACAAGAACTCTAGAAATGGATACCCACTTCCATTACATGTTAGCAAACGCTGACATTACAAACATTTACTCCTTTTTTATTATTACAAATAAGAGACAACTGTAAACAATGAAAATAGTCTCAAAATGTGTATACAAGATGAATGAAAATTATTTTTCTGAAATGTCAATGTGCCACATGGTGCCTTTAAAAGACCTGTGCAAATACACACAAATGTAAAAATCTGCTCAAAAGAAAAAAAGAAACAGAAATAATCGGCTGTTGGCTTAAGTCCTGCAGAGTAATTCCTCATACATATTTCATGTAACCTGAGACAGTTTCAGTAATGAACTCAAAAAAGCACAAAAGTATTTCTACTGTGTGAACTCACAGAAGACTGGAAGACAACATGAACGAGTGACTTGAGTGAATTTTTTGGCACATTAAAGACAATTTAGAGTTCATCGTGTTTGTAGGTAAACTCTCTGGAGGAAATGACGCCGTCTTTGTTCTCGTCCTCTTTGGCGAAGATATCAGCCACCATGTTCTCATGTAGGGTGTCGTTGGCAGGGTAGCCATGGCGCTCAAACTCTTTCCTGAGGTATTCTTTCACCTGGTGGAGGAGATCGGGATGAGTTACAGTGTTCAGAATTGACTTTGGATGACTGATCTGTCTTTTACCTCCAACTACACAATAGAAGGCATGTTAATAAGAGGACGCCTACATCACATCTATTTACAGTTGTATGTGTAGTCACATGAATATTGAAATATTAAATAGTTCAAGGAAGAATGTGCAACGAGCGAACTAGAGTGTGCTAACATTAGCCTGCTAACAAGACAATGCAGGGCACAGGCAATTGTAGCTCGAGCAAAGGACAATTATGTCCGCTGCTTGCACTTAATGGTGCTTAATTATGGTGCGTTTTAATTGATAACTCCTTTTTGGTAGACACGAGTGGAGAGGGGTTGGAGGTGTGACACTGGAGGAGAGCGGAGGCTTCAGTATGGCGGAGGTGTCGCCAAACAGCGGTTTGTTTTGGTTTCATGCTGGTGCTCAACGGCGACATCTACTGGATCAAAAAGTCACACGTTCTTCCTTGAAGGTATTACTTGTCTTCACCTCATTCCTCGATAGCTTCCAGTCATCGTTGAGGTCCATCTCCTGGAAGGACTCGTGTGACCTCGGTCCATTTCTGATCTCAAGCACCTCGATGATGAAGGTGAGTGTGCTCTCAGGTGGGATCTTGCCTGACATTGGACGACAACAATCACAGTGCAGGACGTTAAATTAAACTTTGTCTGGCTTTCATCTCCAGAAGAGTTCATAAACATGCTGCATACAATTGTGAGTATTAAAATGTAAGTGCTATTGAGAAGCAAACTTTGGGTGCATAACGAGTCACACACGTCATACAGTTGTCTTCATGCTGTCAGTTAATTAGACATGGGAGAGATGGATGCGATTGGTTAGGGTGATGTGTGCTTACCAGGGCAGAGCACACTACTGTTCACATGCTCCATGTAGACAATAAGTGGACTAATATCACTGAATGAAGCCTTCATTCAGCGTTTGAGTCCTAAACAGCCATTTAAAACAAGACAGACAGATAAAACATGCATAAATAAGTTCTGTAATAATAATAAAAGTGCTTCATGCAGCAGAGCTTACATCGTGCTATGAAGAGAGCAACAACTACCTTTCCCTTCCTTCCCATAGGCCAGAGCTGGAGGTACGATGAGTTTCCGCTTCTCTCCAGAGCACATGTCCTGCAGGCCTTTATCCCAGCCTTTGATCACCTCTCTGATACCCAGAGTGAACCACACTGCCTGCTTGTCTCCATGACTTCGACTAGTGGACACACAGAAACGGAAACAGTAGATCAGTGTCTGAGAAGGGAATAATTGAGATTTTTTTTTAAAGATTTATTTTTAGGCTTTTTGTGCCTTTATTGTGGAGATGGGGCTATTTGATTTCTTTCTGTTTCACTGATTCTCTTATTGTTGCATTGAACCCTTTTCTCTGTTTACCCTCTGCTACCTTTATAGATTTCCACATTTTTTTGTCTTCTTGGTGTAAATTCATATAAACTGTCACTGGACAAAAAGGACCTGATTCCCATATTTATCCAGGTACTTTGTAAACTCTTTGTGCCACATAAATAAAGTTACTCGACGTGTCTGTAAGAAATCTGTACATCATTGATAGTCAAATGGCAGAAAATGTAAGGGGTAATGTGAAATAAATATATTTTTATAGGCTACAATTTGGCGGCCTGACCCTTTAAAGTTATATCACGTGACCCTTTGCAAGGAGGCGTCACCAAGGAGACGTCACCAAGGAGACGTCCCGCGTGCGCCAACACGAACATGTTGCTCGGCTGAAGGAATGTCATGTAAACCTAATGTAACAAGCAACAAGCCAACAATGTCAACTTCACTACAAATGTGTTCAAGCTGATAAAGAAAAGTGAAGACAGGAAGTAGCGTCCATACAACGTAACCATTGGGATAAATAGAGAACAACTTTTTAACATGGTAACAACTAATCACGCCCAACTCAGGAGGCTGTTTAAGCACATACCTGGAGTGAATCAGGGTCCCGTTCTCCAAGTACCCCTCATGATGTACCAACAGGATGTCTCCGTATTTTGACTTTCGGTGACAGAGAAAAGGTTTGTGCAGGACTTCTATCTGCACCTCCGCTTCAGGCAGCTTCCCCCCGCTGACAGACAGAAGCAGAGAGGAGCAGAGCCAGCTCAGCACCGACAGCAGCATTCTTACACACTACAGCCAGACCGAGACAACCACAGGGCACAGAGGCAAGGAAAACTTTTGGAACAAATGTTGTGCAGGCGTGCAGATGGTCCTCTACGTGGCACGGTGGCTGTTTCATTATACGTGTTGTTGCAGGAAGTCTTCTTCTGATTGGTGGCTTTGATTTTTTTTTTTAAACCCCGCCCACAGACACTTTGACTCAGGGAATCAGGACTCTGATGTGTTTGGCCTACAATCTTTATTTGAGTATCATGTTTTAGTAAATTTACAGTCATGCAGGAAGAGTATCCACTGATCATATTTGACTGAATTACTAACTGAGCAGTTTCTTCATGCTGCTGGAGGGTACTGTTGTTGTTTTCTTCTTGTTTAAGTGTTACACATATCTTTTGTCTGGGCTATATCGAGACATCCATTTGAATTGGGAAAACGTAGGCGATACATTTACAGCACAATATAAAGTTTCTAGCTGTGTTCTGGTACACATTATCATGCAATATTATAACATTGCACTTTACATGTCTTGCACAGGAGTAAACACATTTGCACACCCCGGATTTGCATACTACAGTCATCAGCATCAGCAATATCATTGCTTCTTTAAGAAAAGGTTATTTGACCCTTACTCATTACAAAATAAGATCAGGAAATAGCTTATTTCTATATCAACAGTCAGCAAGTCATACACATTGTAAGTATTTAATATGATACAATCGTTTAAAGGTTCCCTGTCATCACAAGTGTCCGTAACAGTCCTGCAGCCGATAGAGGGACAGTTACATAAAGCTGCTCCCTGAGTCCAATAAAGTTAAAGACCAGGGGGAGACGGGTCCATTCAAAGCAGACTCCCGTGACTTTTCATGGCTCAGAGCAGGCACAAGAGCTTCCCTTGAGGACTCTTTCTTAGTCCAGCAGGTAACTTTTAAAGGGTAAAACTTCAGGAGAAATCTGGAGTACATTCCCCGTAATTAAGTAGAGATGCCCATCTTTTCTTTTTTTTTTCCACTTTTCAGTTCAGGTGAAGTACTTGCAACCAGTGGAATCAATGAGGCAAGAGTCTGTGCATCTGAGCTGCCCAAAGGACCTGCAGAAGACAAGGAACAATATGTATTATTCAAAAGTGAATAGTTACATTGAGTAATGGTAGAAGTTGGGCTGCAAACCTCAAATAGCTTTTTTTTAGAGACATGGTTATCAATTTGGGAAATGTGTAATGGCAGGTTAATACCAGTCTTATTTCTGCACATCAAATATGAAGCTAGAACTGGCAGTTAATTAGCTTAGCTTAGCATGAAGTCTCAAAACATTATGAAACGGCAGCCTTCTGGCTCTTGTCAAAATGTTTGACAAGTGGGTTTGATCAGTATCTGAAGTTCTGACCAGCCAAACAAATAAAGGTTTTAAAATGATAGTTTCTGGTTGGACAGGAATTGTGCATGTCATTATGTTAAGCTAAATTAACCCACATGCGAATGGCATCAATCTTTTCAATTCTCAGTAAAAAAGCAAATATGCATATTTTACCAAACTTCTGAATTACTGTATAACTTTAAGAAATAGATTTTTTTTTTATATAAGTTATAATTCATGATACAGTAAGTGCTGGCAGCATAATGCAGCCTCATTTAAGAGACATCATCAATAAAAGTAAATAATATAATTTAAGTGACCTGTACAGTCTTTAGCTTAAGATGGTTGCAGATTTTTTTAAAATAAATTAATTGCACTATCTTGGCCAAGGAGAAGATGAGGAATGGTGGCCCAAAGACGCAGGTCAATAAAGTAAAAAAAAAAAAAAAAAAAACATACCCAGGAAGATAGGATTTACAGGTCTGATAACCAAAGTCCTTTCCATCACACTCCTCCATGCCTTCATGTCGGTATCCGTCTCCACAGTAGGCCCACTTACAGTCTGAGGGGACATGGGGAAAACGCAGGAGTAAGGAGAGAGCAAGGGAGGAAAGAAAGAGAGAGAAGACATTACTAATGCTTTGGCACTCCTGTGTGTTTCAGGGATGCCAATACAGCATTTTCTGCTAATTGAATTGAAAGGAGAAGTGAGAGGATGGCAGGAAAAGAGAGGGCAAGATTAATGAAAGATCAAGGAAAAGTTTCATAGTGTGCGTTGCTTTCATGCGCTGCCCTGTGGGCTCAGACTCTGTGGTGCACTGTGGTGACGCTCTGCAGGGTATCTCATGAACAGCTGGGTGTGAGACAGCAAAGTGGTGCTTGTGCAGCAAAAAGTCTAACTTACTCTGTTCTGTTTTCAAGACTAACATGCATAGTTATTGGTCTAAATTGTTGTCATACATGGTCCTTTACATAAAGAATAATAAAGCTTGCAGGTTACTCACTGAGACAAGCATCAGTGATGATCTGGTTTCCATCATCACACTCCTCTCCGTGCTGAGGCTGCACCTTTCCATCCCCACACACACCAACTCTGTCCGGGACTTTCTCTGTGGACTGGAACGGCTGGAAGGGCTTCAAACCAAATCAAAGATGACCTTATTAGCCACTGAGAAAGCATAGGTTAATAGTAAATGGACCCGAGCTTGTGTATCTCTTTTTTCGTCTTCTGACCACTCAAAGCATTTCTTACACCACCGGTCACATTCACTCATTCACACATTCACAAAATGATGGCAGAGGGTGCTACATAAAGTGTCCATCAGTATTAACGAATCCCGTTCATACACATTCACACATCGCTGCACAGTAGTGGGAACAATTCGGGATTCAGTGTCTTTCTCAAGGACATTTCAACATGTGTCTGCTGAAGCTGGGGATCAAACCCCCCCTGACCTTTTGTTTGAGCGACAGCCCACTCTACCACTGAGTCACAGCCACACCATGTATAGATAATTAAGTACATACAAAGATCTATAAAGAGTTTTCAACTAAATGTAGCCTACATTGCAGCGCCCTCTGTATTATGCCAGGGGGCATTACCATTAAGGTAATGAACTTCCAGTGTTTCCTACACAGACTTAACCTAGGCCCCACACCCAGGTATATTAATACCTGCTTTAATGACCTTCCACTGGCTACCCATTTCTTTTAGGATTGATTTTAAGGTTTTACTTCTTACTTTTATAGCACTTCACGGTCTGGCCCCAGAATATATTTCTGAACTGCTGTCCCCTTACCAGCCAGTGCGTAACCTGAGATCCTCAGGCAGGAACCCTCCTTACTGTTCACACCTCATACTTGAAAACTAAAGGAGATCGAGCATTTGTAGCTCGGGCTCCTCGGCTGTGGAACGACCTGCCTGAGGATCTCAGACTAGCTACATCAGTATCTTCTTTTAAATCACTAAAAACACATTTTTATCGTAAGGCCTTCTTATAATCCTTGTTTCATCCAGGATGTTTTATTTGTTTCACTGTTAACTTTAACCAATCTTTGTCTCGGTTGTTTCTCTTTTGTCTGTTAATTGAATGATTGCTGCACTGTTGTTTTATTTTTCAAGCTTTTAATAGGATTTTATTGTTGTGTATTTGTTGGGATTTTTTTTTCTTTTCTTTTTCCTGTAAAGCACTTTGTGACATTGGTTTTGATAAGTGCTTTATAAATAAACTTTATTATTATTATTATAATGATAGCCCAAGTAGGCCTATCTGGCAAGCCATTTTAACATGGTCCATTTTAAGTTGATCTTCTTACTACAAGTGTTGCTGGAGCATTTTGACCTCTTCTAAGCCTTTCACTCTTCATGCACCTTGTCAGTTGGTGAAGTTTGTGCCAGAAAATCCTCTTTTTCTTCAAGCCATTTTAACCTAACATGTTTATCTTCTGAGTAATCAGGGATAAATCAGTGCACACTCTGCGCTGGCTCTGCCCCTCCTGCTCATGTTCACTGTGACAGGAACTCATGGTACTGTGAAACACTCTTTTCACGTCCCCTCTTGTATAAGCGTACTGGTTGTTTTTGTATCTCTCCTGTTTGATGCCAACTTCTGCTGGTGTTTTGTACTGTAAGTGCATCT